TTTATTTATATATTTTAACAATTTAAAAAAGTAGATCAGAGCTAAAAAAATGCAAAAACACAGGCAAATTTGCCTATATTGGCTTACAATCTAAGAGATAAAATAAATCAAATAGTGGTAATTTTGCATCAAAAAGTCAAAGCTAAATAATTAAGTTTCTACTTTTTTATTTTGTATATTTTAGATTTTTTTACAAAGTAGTAATAAGAATTGTTTCTTTAAATCTACTATTCTTAAGCCTAAAGCCATGATAATTTGAATGAATATAATGTAATAAAAGATAAATCAAATATTAAAATTCTTTAAACTGTTAACTAAATATATTAATAACTATAACTTTAAATAGATTTTTTATAGAAATTTAATTAATTTTAAGTATAAATTTAATTAAATAATTAAAACAATCATCTAAATTGATATTAATTTTAAGAGCATAAATAATTTTTTTAACTAAAGTCCAAATACTTCTAACTTGTTAACAATAGAAAAAAATTCATTGTTATTTAATAAAAAAATATATATATATGTGTGCAACTTTCACTACATGACTATCAGATAATTACAATTATAAGCCTATGTTGGGTCTTAAAAATTATAAATTATACTAAATATAATTAACTCTACTATTATTCTATTTATCTAAAATATTTAATAAAAGAAAAAACTATATTGGATAAAAACTTTGATTTGGATATAAAGAGTTAGCATAAATACTAATTAGTTTAAAAACAGTATTTCATAAAAGTTCAGTGGTTCAAAGTATATGTATAAGTCATGTTTGTGTTGCTGTATTGTTTTTACAATTCTGTTTAGAAAGTAAACACTAGTAACTATTTTGGTAATTTTATGTATTGATCTTTTAAAGAAGATAAACTGAATCATCTACTTTTTACAAAATTTTCTTTAAAAAAAAAGAAGGCATAAGATGAACCAAACTGTAACTTTTGTAAATGCTTGACTCTTTTGAGTATTCCTTGTAAGTTTTATAATTATATAGAAGTAATATATCTAACTTTGTTGTTTACTTTATAAAAAAACATCTGGCTTTTATTAACTACTCTTTTATGATTCCAGAATGCTTTTAAACTATATTACAAAGTGATAACTTCTTTTTTAAGTTTATTTCAATACCTAATATGCATGCCTAGTACTTCAAAAAAGTTTTTATAAATTTTAATATATTAACTATATTATTTTTTTATAGTTTAGCTTTTTGAAAAGTTTGATCCAGATGATTATTAAAAAGAGTTGATTTGATTTTTTTTTGTTTTATTGGTTATTATTACAATAAATTTCTTATTTTTGATATTACTAATTAAATTAAAGATTTCATTTGTTAATAATTCTTTTATTTATATTTTTGAAACATAATTTTTTAAAACTATAAAATATCTTTTTCTATCTGTTGTAGTTATAATATAATTATAAAATAAATCACTATATAATGAAGTTCAAATATTTAAAACAAGAGTAAAATTATTGTATAATTCAAATTTTTTATTAATATTATAATTTTCTTATTTAAAAAACGTTCTGAAAGTATTGTTCTTGATGATAGAATATATCTTGAATTTGGATTTTTTAAAAAATTTTTTATAAAAAAATTTTTACTATATTAAACAAAATTCAAATTATAACTCAAGTTTTAAGAAATAATTGATTAATCTGATTAATAATAGGAGAATTTACAAATAAGGACTCAGAAAATGAAAATAATTATAAATACAGGTTTAAATTAAAGATAATTACATATAAGAGTCTAGTTTTTAAAAAATATTACATATAGAGATCTAAGTCTATTGATAGATGAAAAAATATGATTACAGAACTACTGTATTACAAAGTACTCTGACCATTTGACTTATAACAATAGCAAAATCACGATTATAGAATTATTGTTGTTTTATTATAAGCACTTGAAGTTATCTAGATATAAATTATTAGATAAAAAATAATAAAGCACTGGCTACAATTATTTTCACTTAAATATTGTATAAAAATAGTGTTAAACTAGTACAATTATTTATAAGATGAAGAAGTAGCTCTTAAGAGCACAATGCTTTACTTGATATTATAATGTTTGTTATAATTTTATACAAGAAAATAAAATTTATTAAATTTAAAAAATTTTTTTTTTCATTTATAATTACTAATTTGATCATTACATTTATTGATGCTTATATTCTTATGTAATAATAATCAAACTATAGAATTGAATAATATTATTGTTATTTTGAACCCTTATATGTAATATTTTGTAAAAATTAGACTCTTTTATGTAATTATTTTTAATTTGAACCTGTATTTGTAATTATTTTCACTTTCTGAACCCTTATTTGTAAATTCCTCTTAATAATATTATAAGAAAGAGATTCAAATAAAGACTCAAAAATATTTCAAGTATAATTATTAACTTTATTAACTAATCTTTGTTACTAATAAGTACTAATTATTTTAAAACAATCTTCATAGTAATTTGCTAAATAGGCTTTCATGAGATGAAGTCTGCCATGTACCCAGAAAGAATTACACTAGTAACATCTTGCTTCATAAAGACCTTATCTTTTACTTTTACCTTTAATAAAATAACATTAAATTTCATTAAAATTTGAACCACCAAGTTTTCATTTTTTATTTCATTAAAATTTGAACCACCAAGTTTTCATTTTTTATTTGATTAGCTATCATTAAAAATATTAAAATTATTAGAGATTGTTGAACTATCATAATTTAAACTCATTGTTGTTTAAGTATGTTTTATTTTAAAAAAGAATTTTAAATGTTTTTTTTATAACTTATGCAACAAGAAAAATTACATTTAATTTAATAAACTACACATCATAATGATAACTACATTTAATCTAATAAACTTACGCATCGTAATGATAACTACATTTAATTTACATAATAATGATAACTATATTTAATCTAATTAACTACACATAATTATGATCATAATAAATAATATATATAAGCTACATTGAACGATTTACAACTTAAGTTACGACCTACGACATAGGTTACTACTTACGGCATTATGACAAAAACCGTAATGGTTACGGCAAAAGTCGCAACTGCCGCTACGGAATTATAACTGCAACTCTAATTTTTATATTATATTAAAATTACAATAATAAAATTTAATAAAATTAATTTAATACAACAATATATCATTTGCCAGGTTAATTATAATATAATTTTTGATATTTTAAAAAATATAAAAATAGTTAATTTAACCTTTTATTTAAAAACATTTTTGCTTCTACGAAATAGTCTTTTTATTTTTATTTTAATACTAAAATACCTTTGTTTTCTTAGGTTATAAATTAAACTATACTAATTTTTTATAAAATTTGGTTTAAAAAAAACTTTTAAAGAAATCTTTTTTTGTAGCTTTCTTTAATAGATTTAATTAGTAAGATTCACAATAAAAATTACATGAATTTTATTTATAAGCTGGGTTTCTAATTAAAGTAAATATCGGAACATTTAGAGATAGTAGACAGTCAACGAACGTGCAACACGGTACGATAATTTTAATATCCTGATCCGTTGAGAATAAGCGGAAACGAAGTTTCCACTTATTACATACAAATCAGGGTAATTTAACACATAAAGTGTTGGCAACAACGTGATAAAATTCAATGTTCACCGTTACGTTACGGTTAACACAGTATAGCGAACATAGAGATAAGAATGGTCAATTTAGGTTGTTATAAAGGGAATTGACTCTATGAACAATTTTTATAATTCAGAGATAAAATTCTAATTATTAGAATGTATTAGAGATAGAGGGCAGAACATATGATAAAATAACATTTGTCAAATTATAACGTTAAGCTTTAGTGATATGGATGAAAAATATTTTTATTTCAGCTACTGCTGAGTGCTTAATAAAAATAAGTGCATAGCGATGATAGTTTATTATTATATACATACGATTCTTTAAAAACATACTTAGCAATGGCTATTGATTCTGTGCTTTAATTATAACGTAAACTACATTTTATTTTTTATAGACAATATTAGGATAGCTGGTTCGCACTATAACGATTTCCATTAAAATTTTGAAAATTATAAAGGAATTTTGAACGTTAGTATTTGTTTGGTAGGTTAAAAGAAGTAAATATATGAGTGACTCACTTAAACAGCAGCTTGTTGAGATGAGAGATTAACTGACGGTGTCGCTGATGTTGATAATGCACGTTTTGTTTTATAGTCTTTGATTGCGGATTTAATAGCATCCTCTGCGAGCACTAATTCGTGATATTAAAAAGTTTTTTAATATTTCAAGTTACATTTGTAAAACAGGCAAAGAGAAGTGACATACTTGAACAATGAAGCTTCACAGGGGGCAAACATAATTCCTTTGCAATCTCAGTATTTCTAATTTGACTGGCTTCTTCCAGAGACATTCCTCTCACTCGTTCAGTCATATAGCTTGACGAAGCAATGGCAGAGCCACATCCAAATGTTTTGAATTTAACATCAACGATTTTCCCACTCTGTTCGTCAACACGAATTTGAAGTTTCATAACATCACCACAAGCTGGTGCACCAACAAGTCCAGTTCCAACGTCTGGATCTGCTCGTGGAAGTGACCCAACATTACGAGGACGTTCATAATGTTCAATAACCTTTAAAAGAATTTGTAAAATATTAGTATTTAAAAAGATTAATTTTCATCAAGCGTAAACGTTTGTAATAGAGAAGTTTGCCTCGGCATATCCGTGCGGCTAGGTTTTTTTTTTTTTGTTTCAAAGATATCGTATTTAGAAGTGTAACCAACCTTTTCATGATAAGATCGTGTCAAGCCAAGCGAAGCAGGACGAAAAATTGATTGAGTGTTTGTTCGGCACAACGAACCAATATTGTTTATAGCTGTACGTAACATATTTTAAAAAGAATTTCAAAATTTTAAAAAATTTTAAATATTGCAGATGACCTCTATTTATATATAATGTAAATGACCTCTATTTAAAGTTCAAGATTAGTAATACAATGTTAATGAGACACAAATGATAAAAGGGGTTTATCTGACCAAAGCCTTTATCAGATTTGAGAATCTGATAATGCAACGCCGACATTTATCAATCAGATTGTGTATGTAATATAAATTATCGTTATCATTATTGTTTTCTAGAATGAGGTCATGTCTTAGGTCATATGTTAGTGGGTAATTATTTTGCAATGTCGATATCTATAAAAAAAGATAGGACACATAAAAGAATAAGTCTAAATAAATACACAAATTTTCAATATCTACATAAAATATTAGCAAACAACTATTGCAATAATCGTGAAAATTATTATTTGTACATTATATGAAGCATTGGGGTATTCAATGCAAATCAAACCTTTGTGTGTTATCATACTATATAACAACCTATTTAGTATTTTCCAATAATCTAACGAATTTCAAATGTTTTAAATATAAACTACTTTAAATAGATTTGTAACAAAGTTATTTAAAATATTTTACATTTTGAAGTTAAAATTTTGCCAACATAAATTTTTTGTTGTCTACTTAAATGCAGAATTTTAAGTCATGAAATAAAATAAATTTAATATAAATACGTTCAAGAATAATTAAGAATTATATAATATGCTAAAAATTTGGAGTAATTCAATTCGTTCTTTTTATCTAAAAAATGGTTGGATCATTCTTTAATATATATATTACTGTATTATACGTAGGTAATAGATATAATTGCTATCATTATACTAATCTTTACAAATTAATTTGTGTGTAATATTACGTATGTTTTGATTTACATTATACTGTAAATTTTGATTATGACTAGGTGTTACCCGTAATATGGGCGGCTAGAACAGGAGGGAACTTCGATGTTACACGACTGATCCTTCACCCAGTGTGCAACATATAAAAACACCATTTTTATATTATAAATAAAAATGGTATTGGATTATAATCATAGCTTTGGGGCGATCATGTGATTTTAAGAAAATTATTAGCAAAATTAGTATATAATTATCACTTATATGGGTCAATTTCTACCGTTATGAGTATTTGGAAATTTTGATAATTTATTGGATCATATTCTTTAGTATATACTTTACACTTGGACAAGTTTTATTGTGCAATATTATAACGATTTGCTATAATTCTCATTTAAGGTTTTTTATTTATATCAATTTTTTGATTCTAAAAATAAAATTTTGCATATATATATACAATAAGTATATATTACACCTATGGGTGTTTAACAACAGTACGAAGATCACTTGATTGTAATTGGTTAGTTTGTAAATCATTTTTAGGTTAGCAAGTTAGCAGGTGTTTATTTTAATAATAACTTATAATATTAATAAAATTTTTTAAAAAATATTATAATCATAAGTAAAATTTTATACTAAACATTTTTTCTTAGAAGTCAAAATATAGTTTTTTTTTTTTTTTTTTGGTATTAAGGTGAGGTTTTGCTTTTATCTTTATTAATAATTTGTTATAGGCAACTACATGAGTTGACACAGGCCAGAGTCAATTTACAAATTTTTTACAAGAATGAAACTTAGATTATAGATGAAATTATTATCTAATTTATCTAATTTATCTGCAACCTAAACCTACTAGAGTGGTTAAAACTCATCTAGA